AAAAATACCTTTTACGTGAAATTTCAGAGAAAGGTAGAAAAGCATATTATAAATCCATGGGGCTGTTCATTTTGTAGGGGTGTAATTATGAGCTTCAGAGATGTGACAGGTTAATAACTCATTTGTTTTTTGCTACTTTACTTCGGTGTCACCTGGCTTGGAACTTTACCTTACATGATGTAGTTCTTAAAGTTGTCACCAGATCTCAGTAACAGATTTCTTGTATGTTATTCTGAGTATATTCTCCGTAACCTTTGAACGTTGCAGTAATTATAAAGGTCATGGGAACAATATTCGACAGGTTAATTGTACAGCTAAACGGTAATTTTCTCAAATTAACATTTCATATAAGAGTGAAGTAGCAAGCTTTATTAGCAACTGTATCTAAATATCTCGGAGACGTGTCTTCTCTGTGCCTCTAGACGTGGAGTACCTGTCAGATCTCATGTCACAATTTAATGGTAGCAGTGACAACGTTTAATGTATTTTGGCACTAAGCAAGTTACAATATCATATCCTGTGATTATTTATATTGGCCGGTATATCACATAGAGCTAAATGAGCAGTATGACCCATTCTGTCATAAAACATACATTATAAATAAAATGATGTAACTTTCTTTTTTTTAGATAGTCTGCAAGCGTAGTGCGTAATATGAATGTAAATATGTGGTTTTGATCCTTTCATATATAAAAACTATCCTAAATCATTTCTTTTGATTCAGAGTTTTTAAGTACACAGTGAAGGATTTGCTCACTCATGGTGGTTGCCGAAGGAAGTCCCATGGTCCTTAATTTTATTTACATGAATCCTGCCCTAATTCCACTTTACTTCACTTTTGTTCGTACACACCTTGGTTTTATTGAAAATGGTTATATTAAGGAGTTCTCTGGAGCCATCATCACATAAAGCTAGCACTAAAATGCACGCAGGAGGATAGTATTCTATTGCCACCCCTCTCATGCAAACGAAACATGCAAAGGCCAAGCATGTCAGTTTCGGTTTTTGATTCTAAAATTCATCTGTGGTGCCAAGAAAAGAGAACTCATAGGGAAAAATATATATAATGGCTAGGTGACAGTCACTACATATATTGATTTAATTCACAGATCAAGGGAGACGTGGGCAATAAAGGAAAAGAGGAAGAGTAGTCAATTAAAATACACTGATTAATATATAAGTGTGTGTGTGTGTATATATATATACTATTATGTATATATTTTGCAGTACACTGATTGTTCCATTTCGGAACCCTTTTGCTTCTTCTGATTTAGTTCCAGATTCCGTTTCCATTACCTAAATTGTGCTGAAATATTTTGGTAAAAATCTTCTCGCCTAGCAAACACTGCTTTTTCACAGCCACAGGGTGCAGAGACAGTGTCTTTATACCCAAAATATTGCACTAAGCTGCAGTGGGTCTGGTGCATTGAGTGCCCCTTTAACTTTTTTATCCCTTTAATGTGTTTTGAATTCTTTACAGACCACTATTTACATTAAAAAAAAAAAACAACACCACGCAGGGCATTATAAATGTGTTATCTTGCATACTGACAAAAAAAAAAAAAAAAAACAGAAAAAAAACCCTTTTATTTGCAAATCATTAAATTATAAGAGGTGTTTCCCTTCCATGTAAGTAAAATGCCAAAAGGACACTCAGTCCCATGCCATAAATATTGAATAGCACATGTTTTAATAAAATGAAAGTTTGGGAGAGGGAGTGGTCCATAACCCTTTGATGTATTTAACACTCTCTGTTTATAGCTGCAAGACAACACGACTATTTGTTTTTGATTCATGAATGGTAGAATGCGATTGCATCCCGAAGCAAGGCAAATCTTGTCAGTGGCATTGGCATTCCATTCCTATACTCCCTAGCCAGGGCTAGAAGTGTCAGCTAGAGAGTTTCCATAGCAACCACAGAATTTGTGATGTGGTTGCTATGGGTGGAGAGCTGAGGGACCACCTGTGGGAGGTCTTTTCTGGTCTTCCTTATCTGTGAGACATTAACAGACAGCTGGGAGAAAATCCTATTTTTAATTATGTTTTTCTCCTAATATATATATTAACTAGCAAAACTGCTAGCACAAGGTATAGATAGAATCGTATGCTTAATCAAATTAACATAAATTGTTTGGGGTTAGACAGGTGTCCTTTAAGCACCTCAGGGGCTATATGGCTATCTCCTAGTATCCCTAGACCTTTATCTACTTTACAATAACCCATATGCTCTCCTAGTTGGGCTAGACCTTTAACATGTGTTCCTAAGCAGCAGTTAGAGTTTGTGTTACTGTACATACCAGTCACCAATGATGTGAGCACACCAATAGAATACAGTGCCCATATCACCTGGCATTCTAGGATGGTGCAAGGCCATGGTGAATGTAGGGCATCTCAAACCCTCTGTGGATTGTTGGAATTTTAAAGTGAATTCAACATTTTAAGTCAAAATAGGCCCAATGGAAAAATGATCTAAATGGGCAATATTCCCATTTGGCCATAATTTGAGATTCACTTTGAACACACTTTGAGCTGTTAGCAATTTACAGTTCGGTGAATGACCTCATGAATGACACCTAGGACACAGACCCCACCAATGTTTTCGATTTGGAGATTGTTCTGCTCTGCAGATTCAGGCCAATTCAGCTCCCAAGGCCAAGCTATTAATATACAGAGTCTGAAAAATACTTATTATTTTAGAAGGCAGTGATAGTTCTTCCAGTTGCTACACTGCACTATACCAAATACATCTAAAAACAGAAACAGCAACCTGCATTGCATTGTCAGAAATAACTGCTATTACACCCAGCAGAAGGCGAACAGCAATACAGGGTACCATGATATAACTTCACTTTCCAAACAGATGGTTTGTGTGTCATCAATCCCAAGATTCCTTTATTATATTGTAATAATGCAACAATAAAGTAAGTAGAAATAATAATCAAATTAATAATAATATAATAATAATAATAACAATAATAATAAAATAATAATAATAATAATAATAATCAGTTATTTTCAGTGTTAAATACTGCTTGCTCTATCACACACTGACATATTGATGGGCAGTACATGAATTGTACTACCCTGAAGGATGTGCAATATGTGTGCTGCAAGTGGGAATTCAATCCATAAACTAATTTAAAAAATAAATAAATAAATAACTCAATGAATGTATTCACCTAGTGCTACCTATGGAAACTATATACTGTAGGGCAGCACTTTTCATACACTGGCCATCAGCATGAAGAAGTGACTATACAGAAAGACATAGTTAATCAGGCAATCCTGGTTCTACCCCCTGTAAAGTGCTAATGGCTCAGTGACAGGGCTGTCATCCTCTAGAGGTCCAGAATTATCTCCTGCCAATGCTTGCAGAGCCTGTACTGGTGCTACCCATTGATCCAAGTTGTTTTTTGGGCAAGCCCCAGAGTCTCAGAGACTGTCTGTGACATCTTAAAGCTTAAATCACCGTAAGGCATTGTTACTCCCTGGCAGCAAAGTGCCTCGTTACGGCCGATTGAGCTAATTGCTTTGAAATAGGATATATTATCTATAATTATAGAGTTCTCTGGAGGAGACGGTCAGCCTACTCTTTCATCTTTCCCAAGTGCATCATAATGTCGCGATCAAATTAATTTGGGCCACTTTAAAATAGTGCATTCCTTTCAGTCCAGCTCCACACTGCCAGCTCTTTAAAGGGACAATGACGCCTTTTAAATGGGGACCCCCAGGCTGGCTCAGTGGTCATACAGGAAACTGAGAGGGCAAGAAGAGGTTAAGATTTTATTAGTTCATTAGCATGCAGGCTAATTAAGGGGCACACTTGGATGACAGGAGGAAAAAAATAGTTTGACTTTAATTCCTAATATCATCGGTCAATCTGGATGCTGGGAATTACACTCCAACAAAAAAATACATTGCAAGTCTCTGTCTCAGTGAGGACTTCATATATTTAACCTCTTGAGTGCTGGTGTAGCTACAATGTAACATTAGATTGGCATTAGGAAAATATAACTGATTATCATGGGAGCTATAGTTCTATAACAGTGAGATGGAGCTTTTAGAGCTCTAGGTGTTAACCCTTGAAATGCCAGCAGGTCAGGCTGGGCACATCGCTCCATGGAATGCTATGTTGCCAGTTGTTTTCAGATAGAATGGCTTTGGATCCAGCAATGGATTTAGAGATTATATGGTGAGCATGGGGCTGTGTTTAGCAAAGCAGGGGCTATTTGTTCTGGGGTTTATGGAGTCTTTGGCTAGTAGGATCTGACAAGTCCTTGCCACTGTGTCTCCACTAAAACCAACACAAAGGCATCCTGTCTTGTGAACTTTCTTTTACTAGCTCTCCACAAGGAGCACAAAGCTAACGTTTACAAAAGGAGAACAATGTCTTCAAGTGACTTCTCAGGGCCTTTATTCTCGCCCCAACCATCATTTGTTGTATTCACATTGAAATAAAACGCTCTGGGTAATTGGTTTTCATAGGACATTCATTATATTAACAGTGGCTGTTTGGGATGCTAATTGTCCCATATTGTTATCTAGCGCCAGAACCCTGCTGAGTCCACATTCCCAAACCAAACACTGCTACACATGCTGAGAACAGGCAGGATACACACTCTGCAGCATACCCAGAATACTTGCATGGTATACGCCTGCAAGATGTCATGGTAAATACCCTAAATACTGCCATGGTATATACCATCAATATTGGCATGGTGTATACCATCAATACTGGCATGGTGTATACCATCAATACTGGCATGGTGTATACTATTAATACTGCCATGTTGTATCCCATTAATACTGGCATGAATACTGGCATGGTGTATACCATTAATACTGGCATGGTGTATACCATGAATACTGGCATGGTGTATACCATCAATACTGGCATGGTGTATAACCTAAATGATGCCATTGTATATGTCCTTAATAATGGCAATATGTGTACCCTGAATTCTGCCACAGTGTATACCCTGAATGTTACCATGGTGTAGACCATAAATAATGGCATGTTATATGCCCTGAATACTGGCATAGTGTATACCCTGAATTCTGCCATAGTGTACACCCTGAATACTGACATGTTATATACCCTGAATGTTGCCATGGTGTATACCCTGAATACTGGCATAGTGTACACCCTGAATACCGGCATGGTGTATACCCTGAATACTGGCATGGTGTATACCATCAATACTGGCATGGTGGATACCCTGAATACCGGCATGGTACGTGCCCTGTGCTCTATGCACTGCCATGATAAATACATTGCAGAATATGTTACATGTTATATAATCTGAGCACATTCAGTATACTAGCAGAGAAAATTCCCTGCTGCAACATACATTATACCGAGTGGCATGTTTACTATATCGCAGAACACACTGTATGCTGCCCGAACAGAATTCTACACACGCTCTGCATATACTGTACATGTATACCAGCAGAGCACATTCTGTATTGTACATACAGAGCAGAGTACAAACAATGCAGCGCACACTATGACAACTGCACTTATACAACAACCCTACAAACCCCTCTATAGCTAACATTAAATATAATATCTAATAGTCATAATCCACACATAGGATTATTGACAGGAGTCAACATACATTAACTACAATTATTTCGTTAATAATTATTTTACAAAAACAGTTTCAAGATTTACATTAAGTGCTTAGTATATTTTATGAGATCTATTTTTTATCGGAATAGTTCATTAATAAATTCCCCTATAAAGATAAAAAAAAAGCCATGTAATTTTACCAAACTACCTTTGTTATATTGTTTTTGTATTTTTATTTTTGTTTAATTCAATGTGTTTTCTTTTTGTTTAAGTCATACGATTTTAACGCTTTGCTTTTATTATATTGTTTTATATTTTTATTTTTGTTTTACTTAATGTGTTTTTTTTTATTGTGTCAGTTTGTTCTGTCCGATATTTCTATACAAAATACATATTTCTACGTTCTATACATTTAGCTATTCAGATGTCAATATACAAGAGGGATCCAATATTAAACAAGCGAGCAGCAGTCTGTGGCTTTGCAATTGTTTAACTAAAATCAGTTTTGCCTGCGGTGATTATAAACACAAGAACAAAAATGGAATATTAGTTGTATTGTTTATTTTCGTTGGATCGAAAGAACTTTCTTTTGCAAACTTGTATCCATCTCAATAAATGCTCATTGACTTGCCCCATTAATTAATCAGCAAACATTGACACTTTGCTACAGATAGGGTGTATTGTTAATAATAGCTATTTGTTCTTTGACAAATGTAAATACACATAAAGCCATCTCTGTGTGTGGATTGAGGGGCTGGCTGGTGATATCGCTCACCATATGTTTTAGGGTGACACAAAAGCAGGCACTGATCTGCATACAACATGCATCGAACTCTTAACCCACTTAACATGAAGAATTGGAATCAAAGGCAAATACAATGATTTGTGTTTGATAAGGTTAAGCACCTGTGTGTAGATTAAAGGATGGGCAGACAGACTGGCAGACTTGTCATCTTATCATGCTCAGCTAACAGATCCCAAAATTCTAGTAGTTGGGATGTTGGCTGTTCTGCTGACATCTCTATACAAAGACAATGGCCAAGGGGAGGTGAAGGGGCTCAGGAGTCAAGGCATCAAACAGACTCAAGGCAGGAGTTTTAAGGAACCCCCTTTTGCCTCTTGAGTGGTGGAAACTCTCCCTTTGGCTTCCCTTCTTCTGACACAACAGGCTGTGTATCAGGGAAAAGGAATGGGGCATAGGATTGTTAAGGCTGAATGAGCTGATGTCCCTGCAGGGCTCCTTGATGTTAGTTACCCCCCCTCCTCCTCTGTGGTCCCCCCTCCAGCTCCAGCCTTTGATCAGACCGCTGCTGGCGCCTAAAACAACATCACTTGTCTGCTTATTAGAAGCACTGACTAATCGTGACAGATTGTTTATGCTCGCAATTAGCAATGCAGGCGCTTCCATGAGAAGTCACTAAGACCCTATGAGAGGGCCAGGGGTCCATTCAGTGCAAGAAACCACAGAGAAACTGGGCAGACTGGATGTCCCCAATTCCCACCAGCATAGGCAGCCCCAAACCCTCTCATTAAATGGGACACCCAACACAGGGCTCTCCCTGAACCCCCAAATTATATGACCCTAATAAATTATTAGCCTTAATATTATTGATTGTAACAGGGACTAGCACGAGAATCCGCTCAAATACTCTGGTCCACTAAAGGCATTTTGCTTACATTCTAACTTTTCTATAGTCTGAATAAAAGAAGTTAAATATAATGTAAATGTGTGTCAGATGTTTGCATAAGTCACTGGAACATATATATTCTGTTTTATGTCATTTTAATTGCTAAACAATAAGTATTTTGGGGATACAGAAAAAAAGCACGAATATATAAAACGAAAGCTAAATCAATCTATCTATGTTTGAATACAAATTGTTGGATTAGAAAACAAATTATTTGAAATATGAGTTTACAGTTCCACAGTTCTATGGAGATTAATATAACATACATTTTATATATAATATAATATGTGTATATATGTGTGTGTGTGTGTGTATATATATATAAATATATATATATATATATATATATATATATATATATATATATATATATATATATATATATATATATATATATATATATATATATATATATATAAAACGGCTAATCCAATCTACACTATATATATATATATATATATATATATATATATACACACACATATATAACGGCTAATCCAATCTACACTATATATATATATATATAGATAGATAGATAGATAGATAGATAGATAGATAGATATAGATAGATAAATGAATATATTGCAGTATTGTAATATTAATACATATGCATAGCTATAAAGATACAGCTATATCGCTGCTTTATATATTTGTAAAACAAATTTTGTTTTCCACTTAATGTTTTTATAAATGTTATAGGATTTAACATTTGCTTTAAGAACACACACACCTAATGATGAATATAATTATGTCTGTGTTGTTATTGTTTTCTATAATATTAAAGCAGCCCATGTTCGAATTATGTAAATAAGACATATAGTGTATAGATATGAGCTGATGTGCAGCTATTGTAACAACGACTAGTGCTCTGATTTAAATATTCTTTATCACTTCTATCTCAATAAATAATAAATATTAATATTAAATATTGCTCATCACATTTCTCTCCAGGTATACAGAATTATTTCTAAGTACAGGACAGTAAATGTCCCATGAAACACATCAGATGCTTAAGGATATTAGAAAGCTTTTAGTTCTTGAACATTTTAATATTCGACTAACAAGTTCAGTTAAAGTAATTGTGAAATAGAGTTCAGATTGCCTGGTTTAATTACCTTTAAATAACTGCTAAACGTAGTGTTTTTAAGAGATTATATATCTCTAGAACATCAATAAACCGTTCCCCAGTAAACCTCACATCCCATTATTACTACATCGCTGCTCAATCTACTGTCATCTCCCTCAGTGGGACAAAAATCCCCAAAATAGAGCTTTGATCTCCTTACAGAGAGAGCAGCATAAATCATATATATATATATTTTTTTAAGTGTATATTATAGTATATAGCCTATAGTATATCTATATATCAATATACATAGATTATGTCTATATAATATTTTATAGTATATATTATATTAATATAAAAAAAATATTATTCTAGATTCTAATCATATATATTTCTTATTTATTAGTTAACATCAGACTTATGTCAACAGGAAATGTGCATTCAAATATATGTACACACACACACACACACACACACACACACACACACAAGAGTTGAGTGTTCTTTTCTTTTAGGGTCATTAGCATAACACACTACAAATAGCTCCTTCTATATCCCATTTACTTGTATGTTTTAATTGATCCTATATTCGCATTATTTGTAAGTGTTTTCAGAAGGTGGGGGTTTGCAAAGAAGGGGAGAGAAAAGGGCAAATCCATTTGAAAACGGATTATCCTTAATAATAACACTCTAATCATGACTTGGTTTGTGTCACTTGTAATTGTCACCTGGTGTTAAACAATACTATTTGGATTTCTTTTATTTAACGAGTCAACAAGTCTACTAATAACAAAAAGGGGGGGCAATTGAGTTACTATATAAAAAGAACACTGCTTGCATTTGAATAGAATCTGGGCATTGCCCAAGGTTCTATGATTAGGCAAAGGGGACTTGCAAGAGAGTGTTTGATTGATGAAACAGCCAATCACAGGCTTGGAACCTCCTCTTCTGCAGTCTGATTGGTCCGTTCAGTTATTGGCCGTGCCTTATTAATAAGGGGTGTTTAGTTCCCAGGACAGAATTGGTGACATCCATCCACGCTGAGCCCAGGGAGCTGTCTTGTTCATACCCCTATGGAGGCCACTTTCACATCAACTTTATAAACGTTGCAAGGATTCCCTCTGTATGGCCCCTGGTGTTCTAATGACTTCCTACCAGCTTGCTTTGAAAGTTGAAGACCCTTCTCTAAGTAAAATAAAAATGCAGACCAGCTTGAAAATGGGAGTGGAGGAAGAGGTGGAGTGCAAGCCCAAGGTGCCTGCTGCAATCCTGCCATTCAGCGTGGAGGCATTAATGGCTGATAGGAAGCCAGGCAGAGACAGAGAGGTGCCAAGCCCAGCAGTCAGTCCTCTGGCTGGGACATCTCACAGCCCCAGGATGGGCTCACTGGCTGGAACCGATCCTCCCAGCCCACCGTTATCCCTGAACCCTCATTTTACTGTCGGGGGCATCATGAACCTCTCAGAAGACGCGCTGGTCAAGTCAGAGAGCCCGGAGAGAGCAGAGAGGACCTCATGGATGCAGAGCTCCAGGTTCTCCCCCTCCCCAACCAGTAAGTAGACAAACTGTCCTTTTTATGGCTACGATCACTGTGCAATGCTCTGCTGAAACTCCCAGCAAAATTACTCATATCCCAAATGGGACCAATAGATAAAAAGGCTCCTGTCTAAACTGTAAATAAATATAAACTGTGATGGACATACACTAACAAACTCATATAATGTAACTAAGTTTATATTCATTTACCATTTAGATAGGGACATCTTTATCTTTTGTGCCCATTTGGGGGTATGAGTGATATTTTGTTACAATTTCTGAGCTTTTGGTCCCTTTTGAGGGACCTTAATCGGTCCCCCTTTTTGGTGATCGTAAAGTATAGAAACTCTCCTCATTCTAATGAGGGTGTGATGGGAGCAATGTCCATAGAGTGTGGGAGATTTAGCTTCCTGTTTAAATGTTAGCTTTCAGTCACTGAGACTCACTTTCATTTGTTCTTATCTCTTGGCTTACTGTGTAGTTATATATCTATTGTTTGTGATGGGTAGTGTCATTTAGACGCACATAAAGCGCTTATTTATTCTAAACGAAATTCTTTTTTTTTTTTTTTTTTAACTTTTACAATTGTGTTCATATTTGCAATCAATCTGACCCCTCAAGTTTGTACCTAAATTCTAAGGCCTAGATTCAAAACGCAGTACAATGGATTGAATCTATTTCTGTCCACATCACCCCATTCTCATCCCCCAAAATCAAACTAAATATTGTTGGAGTTAAAAACGTTCTATCCAACTTGGTTGAACAATATTTCTTCTACTCCAATTTAGTTCAAATCTATTTACACTTTAAATCGTGACATTTAGTCCGAAATATTTCATAAATTACACTAAATGTATGTGTATATATTTATATGCATGTCTGTAGAAATTTAAGCTGTACCAAATTTGTATGTAAAGATTTATATTATAAGTTAATATAAAAATATATATGTCAATTTTATTTATTTTTTTACGTTTGTATTTAGAAAAGTTTGTGGGGTGAAATATCACTAAAGTTTTCTGCTGTTTTGAAAGACTTGTTGTCATTTGCCTGACCTATTCCTTTTTTTTTTAATTCTAGGAAGAATGAGCCCCCCAGCTTGCACTCTGCGAAAACACAAAACTAACAGAAAACCAAGGACTCCATTCACCACCTCCCAGCTCCTGGCCTTGGAGAGAAAGTTCAGGCAGAAGCAGTATCTCTCCATAGCAGAGAGAGCAGAGTTCTCCAGCTCCCTTAACCTGACAGAGACCCAAGTGAAGATTTGGTTCCAGAACAGGAGGGCAAAGGCTAAAAGACTACAAGAGGCTGAGTTAGAAAAACTGAAAATGGCTGCCAAGCCTATGCTACCACCAGCCTTTGGGATCTCCTTCCCTCTAGGGACGCATTTACCCACTGCCTCTCTGTATGGGACATCACACCCCTTCCACAGACCATCTCTCCCTGTATCTCCTATGGGACTCTACACAGCTCATGTGGGTTACAGCATGTATCACCTCTCCTAATACTGCCCAATTTCATTGAGACTGTTGGCAATGGACCTTGTGTGAAATCACCCTGCACCATATCCGTTTACCCTTATTTATGAGTTCCTAGGGAATTGGAAGTGTAGCATTACAATGTCACATCCAGCATTTATATCTTTATCATCTTGTTAGCCAGAAACCTGTAAGTAGATCCAAGAGTCAGGCTATCTCCAGATCCCACCACCGAGGACCTATGACTTAATCTTTCATTTCTATACAATGAAACCTGATGCACTTGTTATATTTAAATGAATGACTTGCTTAAGGGGTAAGGTTTCTTTTTTTTTTTTTTCTCTCTCTCTTTAACTAGTCTATGAAACCAATAGGATATAGCCTAGAGAGAAACGAAACATTTTGGGGGACAGTGTCGAAAATCTGAGAAGTGGGTGAAGATGTCTGTATTTTATGTTGTACATTATAAATGCACATCCATTCTGGAGTTTGTAGACATCGGTTTGGGGTCAACGTTCTAAATTGTAGCAATCAGCATGAACATTCTACTGGTTCCCATGGTGACTGCTCCACTTTTTTGGAACTTTGACGCAGAGCTTTTTTTTTATACATAACCCTATGAAATTGTAAGAATGAGTAAGGAATCATTGGACAATCAAACATGCTCTTAATTATATATCGGCCAATTTTTGCTTGCTTGTTCCTAAGACGTCAAATCCCAAATTATTCTTGACTGTTACAATTTCCTCCTCCCACTGCTTCGCTTTATCATTCAGACTTCCACCAGTTACTGAAAGGTTAAATGGACTCAGAGGCAACTTCATTGTCCCAAATGTTCTCAAACTTCTCAAATCCTAGATCTGACATTACAGGATGGCAAGACAGATAAAGGGATAAATGTCTCTTATATGTAAGAGAATACTGTATTGAAGTTACTATTTAACAGCACTGTCTGTTTGTATTATTTTTGTGTTATGGTCCCTTTGGAAGGGATTGCTGTGTACTTTGTAATATAATGTATATTTGAAATTTATTATCATTTATATTATAGTTATATTTGTTAAATAAATTAACTTTTATGTATTCAGACTTACTTTTTATTTATTTTGCGGTGCAGCATTTAAAACGTGTTTGACATTTTCATTTTAAGTCGAAATTAGGGCTTCTGTCCTACCAACCTGAACTAATGGATTTTTTTGTGTGCAAATACAGATTTAACTTTTGTAAATACACTGGGAAAAATAAATAATGAAGTCACAGCGCCAGCATACGACATAAGGACATATAGAAACAATCTTTAAAAAGAGCCCTCAATCTTTAGCCAGATTTGCATTATACTGCAGAGATTTATATTTATAGATTGCTAAATATTTTTTATAATTGAATTTTCAATCGAAGCTCAGTTGCATACGGAGTTGCGCGAACCGTAGAAATCGTTCAAACCTCACATTGCAGGTTCTATTCCTTGCAGGGTCTACATGGCTTTTCGCCTTAAGCTATCTTCACTTAATTTCTGTTTGGGACCTTTTATGCATGTGTCTCTCGTTATTAAACCTCTCCTCAATGTAGTCCTCTTTTTAAGACTGTACAAATTACTTAACGTGGGCAGAATATAAAAGGAATATTTTTTAATAAATTTGTAGATATAGTTTTAGATTTTATTTTAGCGAAATAACGTTAGTTTGCTATGGTCGGCTGAATGTGTTTAATTAATAAACAAAACATATATATTATATTTTAGTTGTATAGTATCACTCTTCATTCTCATAAATAAGAGGACTATCTACTCATTTTCCTATATATGTGGATATTTGCAACTACAAATTGTACAAATCAATGAGTAGTTAAACCTTAGGTTTTTTGTGTTTATTTTTTTGTAGATTTTTTTTTTCTCATTTTTTTTTTTTTTATGGTTAAAAGAAAATGTTACACTGCTACACATCTTAATGTAGAATTAAGAACCTAATAATTCAGGGTGACTTAGGATGAAGCCTAGGGAACTCTTAGACATCCCATACCTACCTTCCTGAAGGTGGTAGACCTGTAAATATATATCTGAAAACCCTTAGTGCAATACTTTTTTTTTACACTTGCACCACTAATTCCATATTAACCCAATGTGGGTTGTGACTAAAGAGAAAATGCTCAAAGTTGCACAGTCACCATGGAAACAGAATCTTCCTACTCAAAGCTCCACTTTCCCAACTCGTCTAGCTCACAGCTATTTATACTAAACATTACTTTAATCAATCAAGATTTCCATGACGAAGTTTAAAAGTGCTGGCTGTAAGTGTCTGCCTACCATAAAGGGTTAAATCTAAACCCTCTTCAATCTGTCTAGTGCACCACCAGCCATCATTTCTTAACTTCTCTTCCGATTGCATGATTAAAAAGGGGCTAATCGCAGTTATTGCTTTCTTCACCGGACTGACTCCATTGTGTTTATATTGAGATGGACGTAAAAATCATTTTGGCTTCAGACAAAGTCAGAGGCAAATAATTGGTGTAATGATGCCTTTTCCCTGAGGCACAGTTTGGCTCCAGTAAGGCTGTAGCTGGGTAGGGGGAGGGAGGCTTCCATGCCACCAATAATCTTCCATGATGTTCTCAGTCAGCTGCTAGTGCTTGGATCTGAAATTTAGGGGGTTCTTCTGCCATATCCCCCTTTTCAGATCCTGTACCATTAGATCAGTGATGCCTTACTTTCTGTGCCAGATTATTCCAACATATTTAAGTAAACCTTTTAAACAACACTGAAATAACCAATAGAGCATTCTAAATAGTTAACCCAATGAGAGCCATATTAATTGTGGTATTGCTTCTTCCAGTGGTAGCCGTACTGTGTGTATATATAATATATATCTATAATTAATATGGAAAATGTTAAGTCAAAACTGTTTACTTCTTTATAAAAGTTAATGCAAACACACCCTGGCAGATTTTCCAATTTACCAGCAGTTTCTAAACACTGATCACTTACTAATTTATTTCAAGAGATTTCTTTAACGTTTAATCGTGGCTTATTGATTTCCCCTTATTGCAACACGATTTTGCTCATTACCTCTTTATTCAGGACGTGTACTATATAATCCTTACAATTGACACTGTAATATGTTAACCCCATTAACTTTTTTTACCCTGTCTCATTACGCAGCCCCCTTTACAGCCTCTCTTAGTAATATAATACACATTGTATCCCTTTTTCTCTGTGTTCTGTATATTAACTTATTTACCCCTTCTTAAATACCGTATTCTCTCACTAATTATAGTTCCTGTAAGACTTTCAATATTTACTCACTAATTATCCCTCCATCCATGCTGTCTTTGATGTCTTCTCTTTCACTAGTTGCTAATGACCCCTCGTTCTCTCATTAATATTTCAAACCCTCTAATTAACCCTCTGTGCACCATGCCTCATTTAAACCACTCCTTCGTTTTCTTTGCAATTCTATCCACGAGGGGCCATATGACCTGGACCAGTAAGAAAAGAGATTTACTGGTCCTAGATACAGATTGGCCAAGATTTCAGGTTAATGGTTATATTCCTGTGATTATGTTTTCCAAAGGGAACTTTAATATCAGCACAGGGAGACTTAATGAGCTATAAATCCATTTAACCTGGTGCTGTACCTTTAACCTTTAACAACAAAGAGACCCAGATTTAGTTACAAAACATTATTGTAATTTAATTAGCAATCTTAAGGCCCATATACAAAATCCCGAGTGCTATTTTAGCTGGAATAGTGCAATCCAGCTTTCAGATCACTACAATATGGAGTTTAATAAATAAACCACTTGCACCTTATTGCCCCTACAATAAAACATGCACTTTCAGTTGTAACACCCTCAATTTCCCAATAATTATTATTATTACTGGTATATAGTTATAGCGCCAGCATATTCCGTAGCGTTTTACAATATTTAACAATAAATTAGACAATTACAAAAACTTACAGGAACAATAGGTTGAAGAGGACCCTGCTCAAAGGAGCTTACAGTCCAAATGAGGTAACAGTCCATTAGGACAGGAAATAGCAATCAAACAAGGTGGAGTGAAACAGAGCTGGAGGAGAGAGTAAAGTGCTGCCCTTTAGGAGAGAGCAAGATACAGGTATGTAAGGTAGAGTTTACTCTGGGAGGCCATAAGCTTTCCTAAAGAGATGGGTTTTAAGGCACTTCTTAAACGATTGAAGACTAGGGGAGAGTCTGATAGCAGTAGACAGGCTATTCCATAGGTAGGGATACAGGAAGCCAATGTAAGGACTGACAAAGGGGTGAGGTGTGAGAGGAGTGACAGGAGAGGAAAATCACTCTAGCTGCAGCATTCATTACAGACTCTAGCGGGGCAATACAATTTGTGGGAAGACCTATTAGGAGAGATTTACAATAATCCATGCAAGAGATTACTAGAGCATGGACAAGCTCCTTAGTAGCATCTTGCCTAAGAAACGGGCGGATGCAGGCTATGCTTTTAAAGTGGAATCTACAGGATTTGGTAACAGACTGGATGTGAGGCTCAAATGTGAGGCCAGAATCAAGTATAACGCCAAGACAGCGCGCTTGCAAGGACTGATGTGGGTACCACTCTCTTGAAGGAAGAGCGAAGGAGGAGGATCAGGATTAGGAGGAGAAAAGACAAGGAGCTCAGTTTTAGAAAGATTGAGTTTCAGAAAGCGGGAATACATCCAGTCAGAGATGGAAGAAAGGCACGCACCAGAAATTAACACCATCATTACAAGAGTCTAGGTGTTGTGAACTACATCCAGGGCTGGACTGGCCCACCGGGATACCGGGAAATGTCCCGGTGGGCAGTTGTCACCTGGGTCCGGGCAGGCAGCTGGCTCACCTACGGCCGCAGAGGGAGCTCTGATGGCGGCCGCAGGGGGAGCTGGGAGCTGGCTGTTCTGTCTCTGCTCCCCTTCCCCAGCGCACTACAAAGAGACCGGGGCCAGAATATGACGTCATACTCCGGCCCTGGTCTCATTAAGCGGCGCGATGGGGAGGGGGAGCAGAGACAGAACAGCCAGCTCCCCCTGCGGCCGCCAGAGCAGCCAGCTCTCCCTGCTGCCGCCATCAGAGCTCCCCACAGGTAGAAATTGTGTGTCAGTGTGAGTGTATGTGTGTGTGTCTCTGTCTGTGTCATGGTGTGTGTGTGTGTCTCTGTCTGTGTCATGGTGTGTGTGTCTCTGTGTCATGGTGTGTGTGTGTCTGTCTGTGTCATGGTGTGTTTGTGTGTCTCTGTTTGTGTCATGGTGTGTGTGTGTCTGTGTCATGGTGTGTGTGTGTGTGTGTTATGTAATGTGTGTCTGTCTGTGTCATGCAATGTGTGTCTGTGTCATGGTGTGTGTGTGTCATGTAATGTGTGTCTGTCTGTGTCACGGTCTGTCTGTGTCATGGTGTGTGTGTGTTTGTCATGGTGTGTGTGTGTTTGTTATGGTGTGTGTGTGTCTGTCTGTGTCATGTAATGTGTGTCTGTCTGTGTCACGGTCTCTCTGTGTCGTGGTGTGTGTGTGTCTGTGTGTCGTGGTGTGTGTCTGTCTGTGTCGTGTGTGTGTGTCTGTGTCACGGTCTGTCTGTGTTATGGTGTGTGTGTCAAGGTGTGTGTGTCTTTTTTAAGGTGTGTGTCTGTCATGGTGTGTGTGTGTGTGTGTGTGTCCGTCTGTGTCATGGTGTGTCTGTCTGTCATGGTGTGTCTGTTTCTGTCTGTGTGACGGTGTGTGTGTCTGTGTCACGGTCTGTCTGTGTCATGGTGTGTGTCTGTCATGGTATGTGTGTGTGTATGTATGTTTTTACTCACCTTTCCCCTCCACCCCCCACGTCGTGCTGGTCTCCCCTCGACTGACCCTGCCTCTACGGCTGAGATCGTCAAGCTTGATGATCTCAGCCAATCCGCACTGACACAGGAAGCACCTCTAGTGACCGTCTGAGTGTCTGTCACTAGGAAGCAATGTAAACACTGCCTTTTCTCTAAAAAGTCAGTGTTTACATTGAAAAGCCTGCAGGGACAGGCTATAGACACCAGAACCACTACATTAAGCTGTGTGTGTGTGTGTGTGTGTGTGTGCGCGCCTGCTAGTGAGTGGGCTT